GTTGGCCTGGAAAGTTTCGTGACCTTCACTCGCTGTGTGCTTGTCAGCTGCAATGTCTGGAAACACTCGCACCATTCGTGAACCCAGCTGTGAGACATAGTTAGTTAGAAAAGACTGGGTACGTGCCACGCACAGATAGAAAGAAAAACTATACGGCGCGTGGCAGCGGGCGAAGGGGGGAGAGGAAGTGAGCCGAGGTGGCCAAGGGGGGGGTCGACAGAATAATAAAAAACAGAAGAAATCCAACGAACAAGGAGGTGCCAAGTGTTGGTTAGCGGGACTGCAGCGGACGAATGTAGAGGGTGCATTTATTACGGGGAGGAAATTAAAAGTTCATATTTTAATGAATGAAGTAGTGGGTTCGTTTATTATGCATATATTATGCAAGTAAATACGGTATGTGCTGTTATCATTGGCAGTTTAGAAGTGCTGCGTCTAACTGTGTTTCACCCTGCACGCACTTGGGAAATGACTGTATTAAGCACCAAGGGTGACCAGTGCTTCAGCATCATATTCAAGTCGTCCTTCAGTATTCTTGGTTACCAACCACAACAATGGGGCTCATTTCTTAGTCAACACAGGCACCAGTATGAGTGCGAAACCCTGTGACAAAGTGAAAGGAAGAACCCTAGTACATCGCCACCACTCCGAGCCATCTATAACAAAGTAATAAGAACATACAGACATTGTTTGTTCATGCTGAACTTCAGTTTGAATAGAACGTTTAAGTGGGTGCTCATAGACGTGGATGTCAAGTCTGCCACTGACTTCCTGCAACACTTCAGTCTGTTGGTTGATGGTCAGAACAAATGGCTTCAGGATCCTTTGTGACAGGCAATGGTACAAGACAAGCCGTTTCCGCACTCTCCTACCAGCCCAATCTTACTACGTCCGTAGAAACGCGCTTCACCACCGTAGTACAAGAGTTTCCAAAGCTGACGCAACAACAGGTATTCGCCGAAGTGAAACACAATATTCAGTATCACACCGATACCACAGGACCACAGGTCTATGTGCGGCCACAGCGTCTTTCACCCAAGAAGCTACGGCTATCCTGACAGGTGTGTTTTCGCATATGATGGAACTTGGCATAGTGTGCCCTTCATCTAGCCCATATGCATTGCCTCTTCACATGGTCCCCAAATCAACAGGCGGTGATTAGCATCTTTGTGGGGGATTATAGGACACTAAATCATGTGAGTGTACCAGACCGTTACCCAGGATACAGTCCAATGTCCACTTTAGTCCCCTTATTATAGGCTGTTCAAGGTGGTGAAACGACGAGAAAAGCACATTACGATCGACAGAGATGGCCGACATGACGTGGTTTCACTTGACCAGAAAAAAACAGTGCCCGTGGATAGCAACAGTGAAGTGAAGTACGTGCATCATCTCAAGTTCCACAGCCACAAGGACTACCAGCAGACCAGACTGAGCAGGTCAAACCAGTCATTGAAAAGTTCCCAAAAAGTGGACAGTGCCCAATACCTCTGTAGCAAATCAACTTATGAAATGCAGCTCATCGATGACCCTTTCACTAGGAGAGGGGAGAACTGTAGCGCTGTAAAACGGTGCTTCAATGCACTATGCCAAGAAAGTATGCACAAGGAACCACACGACTTTGCTTGGTGAGCTTCGGAGTAAATAAATGTTCACTTGTTTGGGAGGCATGTTGCTTATACTCTCTTAGCAGGGGTGTAACAGCCGAAATGGAATTTGGAGCCATTTTTAAAGCAGCAAAATGTTAATTGTGGAGCACTAAAATCCAAATTCGGAGCAGGTTACGAGAAACAAAACATTCATTTTTCTTCACGAAAGACCAAATTTGGAGCAGTAGAAAGGAGGAGCGTCTCCACGCAGAGAGAAGCAGATCGGCATTTGAGAGAAAACCAATACTTCACGGGAGCCTTTTTTTTTTGCTCTCTTCGCGTTCAAGTGCCTCGTTGAAAGGAGAAGGGTTACATGGCAGGGACGGGAAAGGGGAAGCATGGCACCGGCGCGTGAGAGAGAGCCACTCTCCGCGACAGCTCTTTTTTTTCCTCTCTCTCTCTTTGCACGCGGTGTCGCAAGGAGAAGGATCTTTACGTGGCAGAGGCGGGAAAGGGAGAAGCATGGCAAAGGCGCATCGCAGATTGGCATTTTAGAGAGAGCAAACGTTCTACCGCAGCCTTTTCTTTCTTTTTCCTTTCCTTCGCGCGCAGCGTTGATGTCAAAAGTGCCGCCGCGGGATCTGGCGGGGTGCTAAGAGCATTTTCGGCACGCGGTATGTTCGAATTTACCATCGCAAGTGCTTGCATGTTCGAATTACTGGGCATTTTTGCCCATTGGAATACACATAGCTTTGACGGAACCTCATCGTGAGTTTGAATTAACCGGAAGTTCGAAGTAAGCGTGCCCGAATTAATGAAATTAGATTGTACAATGAACTTGGATGTAACGAAATATCAGTTATTAAAAAGTAAATGAAAACTATCCTTGCATTAGATATAGTGTTAGAAATAAACCTTTATAATAAATTTTTGGACATAACGAACTTATTCCCGCAAAAGACACAATTGCTATAATGAGGTTTGAGTATACAAACTATTCAACATGCCCTCAATCATGCAGTGTGAGTACGAACCCCCTTTATAAGAGACATTGATATAAGAGACAAATGGGGATAAGAGACACTAGTCTGCCTACAATAAAATACGGGTTGATAAGCAAATGCATACGAGGCACCCTACTGGTACAAGACATCCCATATAAGAGAAAAGAACTGCTGCCCAAAGCATGCTTTTTCTAAAGGGGTTCAACTGTATTTGAACCACCCCGCTGAGCAAATAATGACAACATCCACATTAGCATTTGCCACGTCCGAGTCTGCGAATACAAATTTGGATCTGCCAAGCTGGCAACCTTGAAACTGAGGGGATTCATAGGGGTGGCGAAAAAAACAAACTAGCACACAGACTTTTTTTTTTTTTTTGTGCTAGAAATGCCACTCACTGCTCTAAGTTATTGGCCAGTAACTTTTTCAGACGTCAGTGATCCCACTATACTCGGGGACAACTTTCTGTGGCATTGCAATCAAGGCTTCAGAGCCGAACCACGCCATTTTGTCAGTGTCGCCACGCAGCTGTAAGTAGTTCCACAAAAAAAAATTTTGTGAGTGTGTAACCTAGTCATTTAAAAAGGGGCAGTTAATATTTTTAGCTGTTTACTAAGTATTACCACAAAGTTGCTAATAATATGTGAAATAACGTTATATTTTTTTATTTTCCAGGGTTCCTATAGTGGTATTATGTGATTATTTAGTGATATTATGGGAAACAGCATTATATTGTAGACTTCTCGGGGGTTTTCTTTTGTTGCCACGTTTCCCACTGCCATCATATCGACTCCCTTCCTTCAATATATCCCTTCAAAAAAAAAAAAATGGCCTCCGCATTGCCAGTGCGCTCTTTCTCCTGTTGTTCGCCAATTCGCTCACCACACAGGATACTCAAGAAGCTTGAGTACCAATAGCTGTCGAAACAAACCAAGAAATTGGTTGGCAACGTGTACGCCCAAGTGAGACTGATGCAACTGGGACTCTCTGTCCCTTCCGTGTATCATTCAGTTAGCCAGCTTACTAACGTGAGCAAGCGTACTCTCACACGACTCAAGGTGGATGTTTTAAAGTGTACCAGGAAGTCTCTCAAAGCATAGAAGGCTTCGTTTCACAGCTGAATCACCAGCACGAGCTACTTGAAAGCCAAGAGTGCAGCGGCAAGATAGTTTTACACTCTCTGCTAATTCATTTTTCAACTTTAAAACCAGTGCTAATTGTGTAGATGTTCAGAAAGCATGACATCTTACAGACGTGCAGGGTTTTACATGCTTTCCTGTTCTAAGTAAGTAACCTAACAAGTGAAACATAGGATTGCTATCCTGGGGTGTACATATCTGGTACGATGCAGTATCATGAGAAATGACCGCATGCCGATACGGTTTTAATGAATTGATTGATATGTGGGGTTTAACGTCCCAAAACCACGATATGATTATGAGAGACGCCGTAGTGGAGGGCTCTGAAAATTTGGACCACCTGGGCTTCTTTAATGTGCACCCAAATCTGAGTACACGGCCTAGATCATTCGGTTTTAATGAAGGAGACGAAAACGGGCAGAGGTTGAGATTGAGCGCAAGATGCGTGGGTTCAGCAGCGGCGAGAGGTCACCGCTATACGTTTTCTGAGCTGCGGAGTGTGTGGGCAGTGGGCCAGCGATGCCCTTTTGATGCCGGCATAACTCAATGCAATCCAAACTGAATTTCACTTAGCGCCGCAAGGTGTGGGAACTGCTCTTCAGTATATCGCACCCGTCATATGTAAGCACATTACTTGTGTCTGTTTTCAGCTCTAAATAAGTTTACATATCAGTGCACGCCCTAAAAACTGCAGCACTGAAAATATTCACATCATTTCTGAATGACACAGAATGACACAGTCAAATTAAGCACAGGGCATAAAATGCATATGCCTGCGTGCTCGGTAATTGTGGTTTCCTGCGAAGCGTTTGAGGCTGCGGCAACGCTTTTTTGTGTTGAAGTTGCATCGTCCCGCGAATAGGTATCTGCTGCGGTTGTGGATTAATGGCACACGGCTCAGTTACTTCACCTGGTTGATCGTGTGTCGCAAGTGCCCTGACCTAATGGGAATATATCTTACACCGTGGATTAGGGTTAGGGTCTGTGCGCTTGGATTGATTAATAACACAAACTGCAGATGGCCAACGTGGCCGCCATTTCTCACAGAAATTAGCGCAACTGAGAAAACATTGAAGCTAGACGGGCATTCTGGTGCAGCGTGCCACAATTTTAGCAAATTTCATGGTTTTGGCGCAACTCAGCGCAAAAATGGGGAATTGTGTCAAATTGATGCGATCGGCACAGCTGTTGCAACCCTTTCTTAGCTAGGCCTAGCCAAGTGTTCTAACACGGTCAAGCGTGGATGGAAAAACTTTGGCCCCACTCACCTGAGCCAGAGCCAGAAGTGGTCATCTCAATCATGTCCTTGATGGTCTGGCCAGGAGGAAGCAAGATTGGCTCACTCTCCAGGCTCGTCTCCATCTCGTAACGAAAATGGCGCCTCCGCTGCTGCCACAACTGGTACACCACCATGAGCACCACGCACACAAGGCATATGGGGCCTCCAATGGCAAAAGCCAGCTCATGTGTACTAGGCCAGGACGAAGCCACCACTGTATTGCCTGCCACAGTCCCACGCACTGTTAGGCACACTAAGACGTCAAAGGGCTTGGTATCTGCTCCTTACAATAATGAGTGTCATTTCTTTTTTTTTTTAATCTACCCATTGCTCTATTCAGCTATTGCGAACAGAGATGAAGTACCCAAAATGCCTGCCTAATAAACAACAAGTAGTCATAAATACAGCATGTGCCAACAGTTATGCATCATGTAAAAACATTTTGCAATTTTGAACAAGTGCACCAAAGCTGTTTCTTTATCAACAGCCTGTTCTATACCCCAATGTCTGAATGAAGCACTTTTTTTTCAGATATTTCAGATTCTTTGTGCAGCAATGTCAACACTCTAGATGACAAAATCCAGTAAACAAGCATTTGATTAAGCTTAAATATTTAAAAAATTTTGTGAAATAAAAACTACTTTAATGGCCTTTTTAGTAAGTTCTGTAAGATGTACAATAATTAATACAAAGAAAGGCAACTCAACAAAAATACATAAATGTTGAATTCCATGTGACTAAACTAAGATCTGACAAACTCAATAACAACAAAGGCCTGAGCTACGAACCCATACACAGGTGCAAGAAATGCATCCGATACTTGGGTAATCAGAATCTCTTCAATCGCAATAGCAATTAAAGGTCTCGCACGGACCACACTGCACCTAATTTACGACACCCGATTCTACTTACTTCCCGATCTTAATAAATTTCGATTCCCCAACAGGTTCTCAAAAGGTTCAGCATTGCCACCAACTCAAATTGAAGGGACCATAAAACGGCATTTTTACATGTTAGCGTTGAGATGACAGCACCATCAAACAATCCCACCAGAAGTTGAGCGAAGCAGCTATGGGCAATTATGTGCAACCACCCAGCACCTTGACTCACTGAATGCACAGTCGTCGCTAGTGACTGCAGCGCACCTGACGGCTTGAGCTGTGCTACCCTCACGATGGCCTCCTGTGGCCTTGCCGTCAACACTACCAGGCGTTCCAATTTTATCCTCCTTTATGCTGACAATCTGCAAATGCCAAGAAGTATGCCGACAAACTTGAGCACTTGAGAACAATCTCCGATAAGCGTAAACTTGAGCAACGTGGTGGTGTCTTCAAGGTTGAAGCTACCGCCATGGATGCCCTGGTGTTGATTCAGTAGCAAGAGCCCGACACTCACAATTACATAATAGTGCAATAATACATATATTTTATAAAAATTCTATGATTGTCATGTTCATCTCATTTTCACACAAAACCCTATTGCAAGGCAGAAATACTTTACCACATCTGAAGTGACTAATTAACAAAATGCAGTTGATGCCTCTTTTTGGGAAAACGAAAGTGAAATGTGTCCTCACAGATGTAGTTGAGCAGTGATTGTGCATTGTTTCGCCACAAGTGCGAAGGAATGAATGCTGCAGTAACGAATTGCAATGTAATGTGAAGAACGGCAAGCTGCTGGGAACTTTCAGCGCACACCTCAATCAGAAACATGCTCGAAATTAGCACACACAGGACGACTGCAGACAAACAATTGACACGATTCTTACTTCCTGTGAGAGCAGCTCACTCCTTTCGTAAATACAGCCGCAGCATCGAACAAATTGACATTCGTGCTCTCTTTAACTACAGCAACTTCAAAGCGAATTCGGGGTAAAGCACAAGAAGCATAAATCACCCAAATCCCGAGATAAGCGCACACGCGAGTGAGCCACCACGCTAGAGGGCATCTATACACACTTTGACCCCGCCGAACACACTACGTGGAGGCACGTGCACAGTGACGCGTGTGGTAGCGCAGCACGACAACCTGAGCGCACATGCCCAACGTGCACTCGTCGTTCCATCTTGCTACAGATTACTAATATGCGCTGAAGTTTCCAAGCTCAAAAGACCACCAGCATGGCGAATATAAATGGTTCACCGGTAACATGTTGGAGAGGGGTCACTCAGTGCTGTAGCGGCTAGTGTCGTGCGCTGAGGAGTGCGAAGTCGCTGATTCGACGCCCCGCTGCAGAACTTTTCCTTCTTGTCTTTCACTGCAATCTGTTGGTATATATTTTATGGCATATCCGTTACGGAAATACAGTTCACGGAGTGAGACGGTGTGAGAACGAAGTAAGATAAGAAAGAATTTATTTGGGGAAAACTAGGCACACTTTACATTCAGTGCCTCAAAATGGCAATGGTTACAATGAGCTAGAAACATGCCAACACTATACTAATACACAAGAAAGGAGATTTAAAGACTTAAAGCACTATGAGCCTATCGGCATACTTTCAGTGATATACAAAAAAAATACTTAGGAAAGTTATCTCGAATAGAAAAAGAGAAACACTTGACTTCAAGCAATAAAAAAAAAACAAGCCAGGTTCAGGAAAGGCTACTTTACTATGGATCACATTCATGTGATGAAACAGAAAATGGAGAAAGCTGCTGAATACAACAAACCCCTTTATTTAGCCTACACAGACTACGACACCAAGTGAAAAAAAAAATGGACGTGGACTGGCGATACAATCCAAAGAACAGACATCCAATGGACAGTAAGACTTACAGAATTGTTACCAAAGCCTAGTTAGGCAGAAAGTTACTGACGAAATGAAGAAGTTCACAGGGTTAACATGAAACTGGTTCACATATGATAGGGCAAACTGGAGATCATTTCGAGAGGCCTTCGTCCTGCAGTAGACTAAAAGAGGATGAGAATGATGATAATAATGAAGTGAGATGAGTAGCGGCTTTCCACAAAAAGACATTGCCTTGCTGTGCTTTCATTCAAATTTTGTCATTTCCTTGTTACGGCAATTCCATTTTGGCATACCAGTGATGCAAGATTTGCTCACTACAACTTTCCCAGCTACTTGCATGTGGCAGACCTCAAGGTTCGCTGGCTACCAGGCTGTTTTGAGAGACAAAAGACAGCAGGTCCGAAAGGAACACTTTTTAAAATGAAACATCCTTTGTAACTAACCATTTGTACAGGTTAGTTACTTAAGAGACCAAGCGTCATTGCAACAGTAATGTTTGTTGTGTCGTGGCCTCCCGGTGTATGCCAAGTATATGCTCGATGCACTGTTATATGTTTGGCACCTCGTAGTTCTTGTGGCGGTGTGCAAGTTACCCAGGGCCCGACGATTAAAACAAATAATAACAAGCTAGATACTGTGGCAGCAGCCGTTCAACATCTTGAAGCGAATAACGTAGACTTTATTGAATTTATATACAAGACTTTGCAGATCTACACCAGCCTCGGGAATGACTTGGATCAGTTGACTAAGAGAATACGTGAAATTGAAACAAAAATCAAATCGCTGCCTTCTAAACAGCCTGCTTCAAATGAGAATGCTCACATGTCTAAAATTCAAGACAAACTCGCTCAAGGTGGTGGAACATGTTGTTTTTTGGCATTCATGATCCGAGCCATTGGAGCTCTCGTAGTACCACCTTCAAGCCTTTTGTACAGAAAAGCTTGGTGTTACTGTTACCTCCGTTTCCAGAGGTGGGGGCATTTTTCGAATGGCAAGGTGCAAGTTATCATTGCCAAATTTTATAATGAAAAAGTAGAATCCATCCTTGGCCTTGGCTAAAAGCTCAAGAGCACCAATTTTAGTCTGTCAGATGAATACTCAAAAATAGCGGGTCAAAAGTACCGTAGACTATGGCATTTTTCAAAAATGATAAAGATAGCGACCGTATCCAGCAGTCGTACAACAAACTGCACATCTGGCGATCGGGTGGTGCATGTATTTGAACCACCTGCTGAACGACATAATTCTAATCATAATGCATTTCCAATCATGCACTACCACTTTTACCAGGCCTGAAATGATTAGATGACATCTGTTACTTACATACAAGCATAAAAAGTGTTAAGGCCAAAAGCATCGCACCTTCCTGTCGACTCATCTAGGGCTTCATACATGCTTCAAGGAAACGGGGCAAGCCCTATACCCGCCATGTATTTTAGGCAAAGTTTATGTACTTTTTTTCTGCATAACCGTAAGAGTTACAGTAATTATTTTACGATCATTGTGATCATAAGCCATTCCTCCTTTTTACAGAAACAGATTTGGTGCTGAAAATTGCAACGCTAATTTTTCGTAATTTTTTTTTACTTTAAGATACCTAATTTTCACTCTTTATTGGTTGATTGATTAAGGGGTTTAACATCCCAAAACTACCATATGATTACGAGAGATGCCGTAGTGGAGGGCTCCGGAAATTTCGACCACCTGGGGTTCTTTAACATGCACCCAAATCCGAGAATAGGGCCTACAGCATTTTCGCCTACATCGCAAACGCAGCCGCCACAGCTGGGATTCGGTCCCGCGACTTGGGAGTCAGCAGCCGAGTACCTTAGCCACGAGACCGCCGCGGCGGGGCAATCACCACTCTGTAATTGCTAGTAGATGTCGTATTAAAGAAGAGCACTTCCTCACACAACAATACCGCTTCAGAATATTCCCTATTACGTTATCTAAATACTGGCCAAAATCTACGATTCTATGTAGGGTAGTTGCTAGGAACATAAGTACAAAGAAAGCATGTTTTAAGACAACCGCATTTAAAGCTAAAAATGTACATTTCACAATGACAAGTTACCAGCATATTGACGGGCCCGTTCAATAGACAACAGCCAGATACTTATCATGAATATAATTTTTTTCTTTTTCTGTTGAAAAGTGCCTCCTTTTTCACTCACCTGCTATGCTACCCTGTCAGCAAAGTACTGTGAACGCAGGTTAGGACCGTAGGCCCTGCACTGTGCAGGGCCCTGGCGAAATTCCGAAGGAGTTCAGCACATTCACGTAGGCTACAGTGCCATCATTAAAAGTGAGCAGAGCATCAAGAGTGCATAGTTTAAGTGTTTGGTGTCCGATAAATAATGTTATCTGGAGTGAGTTCCCATGCGACAATTGAACGACTTGTTAGGGTTTTCAGTTTTTCCAGAGAAATTTAACAAGTAATCATGAATGATCTCGTTCCGGGATAATTTGGCTT